TTTTAAAAAGCTACAAAAAATAGATTCTGTTATCGGAGCAATAAATGCCAAGATTAATAAATTCAATGATTCTTCTTAAAGGGATATTATAATCTAAAATGCTCATAGGCTAATCATGTTCAAATGTACATGGTGCACTTGCATACAAGAGCAGCAATCCTTGTATTTGATAAAGCATCTCTAACATTGGGAGAACTTCTCAACTTGTAATGACTTTGCATGTTGCGCACAGCAACATCACAAACAACTGTAAATTAAATGACCAATTTTATCTGAGGATCGTTAACAAGGACACTGTGAAAAACTCCCTAATCTTTTTGAACAGTGCCATGGGATCTTTAATGCACACCTGAACAGACAGACAGGACCTTGGTTTAACATCTCACTCAAAGAATGACACCTCCGACAATTCAGTAGTCTCCCAGTCCTACAATGGTGTGTCAACCTAGACTATGCAAGTTGAAAGTCCAGATGTGGGGCTTCAGCCCACAATCAGAATCAAATCATTCCGAATCAGAATCAAATCATTCTGTAATTCATTTCATTGGTTAATTACATACTGAAGGGCACCTATGTACATTTGAACATGCCTTAAGTAGATATTAGCGCAATTTGTATTTTAGACTTACTGTCACCAGAAAAATGTATTTGGGCTAACAAAATCTCTATCAACTAACAGTATAATTTGCATCAAAAAATATTATGCAAAACTAAGAATATCTGCTGAAACCCTAAATCATTCATGTCAGCTCTTGCTTTGATGTCTCAAACACACTCCTCACTAGTCTTCCTAATCACACCATCCACAAGGTCCAGCTAATATAAAATTCTGCTCTATAACCTCACCTGCAGCAAACGCCACATGGACATCATTCCCAAACCTCACTAGTCTTCACTAGCTCCCTGTTTCTAAGTGGATCGACATCAAGATCCTCATCCTCACATATCTCTTCATGCCCCAGCATCTCCTGACCTCTCTAACCTGCTCGTACCCAACTTCTGCTCGCAATCTTTGCTCAGCTAAGAAAGCCCTGATGGATGTCCCTGGACTCCTCTGCCACCATTGGTGACTGTGCCTTTAGTCACTAAACCCCTAATCTCTGCAACTCCCTGCCTCATTCCCTTCATCTCACCCTCACTTCATCTATCTTTAAGTCCCACTTGAAGAGCTACCTCTTCATCCACGCCTATGGTCACCTCCCTCTCCTCATTATCCCTTGCCCAGAGCCCAACCCCATTACTGTACGGCACTTCGAGATGCTATCTTATATGAAGAGCCATGTATAAATGCAAATTGTTGTTGTATCCTTTAAGAATTTCCTTAAAATCAATGATTTAAAAGGATTATGTTGCTTGTGAGTCTCATATCGTTTCTTCAACAACAACTTGCATTTATATATAACACACATAGTGTCCCAGAGCTCTTCTTCTACTAATATAGGAGAATACTGAAACACAAATATATGTAGCTTAGAGCAAATAACCTTCTCCAAGGACTGATCCTGAGCAGAAAAAGTGCAACAGACGCTCCTCCCCATTCCCTCACTGGTAAATAAAACCAGATAATATCATTATGACACCCTAGGCTCCCTGGAGTTAATACTAGCCCAATCTATGACACTCGCAATGTGTGAAAGGCTGAGGGTTAGCAGACCAAAGAACAGATGGTTTCTAATCACCACATGCAGCTAAAACACACAGAGACAAGTATCTGTCTACTCAAATTCGGTATTAAATGCCTGCAGTGAAATTGGTTACGGGATCATCTTTAAACTTCTTATAATCCAGACACTCTTTGTACTTTATGTTTGAAATGCACAGGCAAGTAGGTTTGGTGCGAAGATAATTCACAGCAAATGGTATTAGACTTGCAAAATATCAAAGATAATATCCTGATCACCTTAAAGTTTTAAATGGACGGTTTAGGACTGAGCTGTTAAATATGCTAATAACAATTGATCTGTCTGTTGGGTCATATAAAATGCCTTGGAATGAAAACATTCCTGTCTGTGCAAATATAAACAGCCCAATATATTGATCGTCTGACCTACAACTATGGTCATTATAGCTAATATTTACGGGTTTACATTTGTGGCTTTTTGTAAAGGGATTTTGATTAATACGCTTGTGAGTTGTACAAATTGTGATTGTTTTTGATAACCTGAAATGCATCATGGTGACCTGCAGGAACTTCACATAATCAACAACAACAACTAGTCTTTCACATAGGACAAGGATGCCTCTGACATAAATTTACATTGTATTGTAATCTTTCCCTGGGCACAATATACATTTATCCATGCTTCTGCTTTAAGGCGTGATTTTTTTACTTGTTGATTAGTTTCGTCAGATTTGCTTTGAACCAATTAAAATTACTTTTAATAAAGTAGTTTAGGGTAAAGACTATGCGATTTTTGCTAATTAAACTCCTGCAGTACCTCAACACACTTTGGGCTTCCCAAGCCTTGTCTCTAACCAATTTGTGCATAATATTCAGGAATTAGATAAGCAGGGGATGTTCCTTCAGGGAGAGAGTTCAATTCCAGCCACAGGGAAATTTCCATGTAGGAAATCCTTGCATTTGACATAGCACTTTATTATGTCTTCGAGACATCTCAAAGTGCTTCACAGAATATAATGTAAAGTGAATTGGCTATAAATTTGTGGCTGAATCGCGGCAGACAATTGCACACAGCAGAGTCCCACAAACAGTCATGGATTGAGTGACCAATTTATCATTTTTTTAAAGAAATTATTACCTTGGAAAAGTGATCCGCTAATTGACTAACAACTGGATTCCTACTTACTGCTACATAAACAGAGGCTTGTGGAGTAAGAAAAGTTACCCAATGCTTTGTCCTGCTGAGAATCGAACCCAGATCTTTTGCTTGCGAGTCGAGTGCTTTCACCACTGAGTTACAGGACATACATATGTGGAACTATCAGTCTGGTTTATATACTCTTAATATTTGTGATGGTTGCTGCATGTATCAGACACCTGGCTGACTCCCCAAAAAAACAACCAGGACAATAGAGACAAAATACTGAAGTCATTTAAATACAATATAACTCGATGGGAATATTTTGTTAGAGGCCTGAATGACTAGTTGACTAGTTCTTATACGTGTGACTTCTCTTATGTAATTATAATTTTGTTAGCAAGTAGGTAGCATTCAATAATAATGGCGCCCCTCCACTAATGACGATTCACATCACTAAATCAGTAATGTGCCTGATAAATTCAAAACATCAAAAAATGTAGCCACAAAGTGTGGAATTATGGGCAAAATTGTTCCAGTAACAGCAGCAAAAAAACGACGTATATTATGCAGGGTTTGAAGAAATAATATTCTTTGAATTTGGTACAGTGCCCTTCACACCAGGAGGGCTTCTCAAAGTTTTTCACAGGATTTTACTGCATTGCGTAGTAACTATATATTTGAAAGTGAACGTGGCAGCCCATTTCTGCACAGCAATGTCACACAAACAACCATGACCAATGACCAATTATATTTTGTGGATTGTTGGCCAAGACATCAGGAAAAACTTCTCATTTTGAATAGTGCCAAGGGATCTGTAACGTCCACCTGAATAAGAAGTGGTCTTGCTTTAATGTCTGAACCAAATGATACCTCCAACAATACAGCACACCCCCAGGACTGAGTTAGAGTGTCAGCATAGACTATATGAGTTCAAGTTCCGACGTGGGGCTCAAACCCACAATCTTCTGACTCAAGAGGCGAGAGTTCAACAACAACAGCAACAACAACAGCACGATTGCATTTATAGAGCGCCTTTCACGTCGGGAGGATGTCCCAAGGCGCTGGACAGTTGGGTCGGGACCCGAGCAGGGGGTCAGGGTGAGGGGAGGGAAGGGAGGGAGCGAGGAGGGGATACAAAGTCAAGAGGGGAGCTGAAGGCAAGCAGAGATGTCTGCTTGGCTCAACCAACTGAGCGAAGCAGACATCTCTAAAATATAAGTAAAGTGTGGTATTGAAAGTCATTAATCCTAGCATATGTAATAATAATAATAATCCTTGTATTTGATATAGTGCTTTTCACGTCTTCTAGACGTCTCAAAGCGCTTCACAGAATAGACTGTAAAGTGAATTGACTGTATATTTGTGGGCGAAACGCAGCAGCCAATTGCACACAGCAGTGTCCCACAAACAGTCGGGGATTGAAAATGACCAATTTATTATTATTTTGTTTTGGAGGGATTATTATTATGTAGGATTATATATGTAGGACAATCATTGGATCCAATGAAGCATCTCTATGTTTCATTTACTTCTAACTACATCTGTCATTTGAACCGGGATCCATTCTGCGTAGACGAAAGACAAATTATGTAAATTCTAGAGGATATTCTAACATTTTCGATCACATTTAGTCACCGTTGGGGTTTGAGCTAACACTCATTGAAAACTAAATTAAGACAGCCTAAAATAATTTCACTTAAGACCATCTCTGTTGTCAGAGAGTAGCCACACATTAATTACAGCTATCTGAACCAGGAAGAAATTCAGGGTTAAAGCACAGATTTCTAATTAGGGTCAGCCCCTAGCCCGTCAAACCTGTAACCTGTATTTGAAATACTGAAGATTGTCAATCTTTACAATACAGTTTAAAACCAAGCCAAAGGATAAGTATTCCATAGATGCAGATTCACTATTTTTGGACAACTTATAAAACTGCCCGTCCGTAAAAGAAATACTGACCTGAAATAAGTAAAGAGTGACTATGGTTTAGGCCAGTTAAATAAGCCAAGTTAAGTGGTTGGTGGTGAGGGGGAGTGCAGAGTGATGGAAAACTATCCTGCTGTGCAGAAGTCTGTGGTTTTTCGGCAGCTCCCCCATATTCATGTAAGAGATCAGCTATTTTATAATGGGAGGAGGACATAATACGATGGAACAGAAACCGAAATAACAGTTGTGCTTTGATTGTTTGCTTTTCCTACTGTGTAATCTTGCTCACAGCACAGAGCATGAGGGACTTACATTTGGCTTTGACTTTGTATCCGCCCAGTGGAGACTCATGACCTTCAACGGCATCGAAACCAGCTGATACCAAAACCACATCTGGATTGAACTCGCCGGCGATTGGCATGACCACGGTCCTGTGGGACAAGGATGAACAGTCTGTGAAAGAGGCTGCAGTGAATTCTGACTTCACTTTCACAGCAAGCCACCTGGATAAAAACAGTGTCTGCTTTCTTTTTTATGAGAATTTTCCTTCCTTCTGATAATTTTGCCTCCTTGCAATAATTTTCTATTTGCACAAGCAAGCTTTCTGATCCAAGGCGAGATGAATCTGGTGGGTTGCTCACCCGTCTTTAACTCAGAGTATTAGAAAATGATACTTTTCCAAGATCAAATCCAAACTTTCGGAATTGTCAGCAGATAAAACACGGTAAGAAAAACAAAACAACATTCTACAGTCAATTAGGAATTGCTATTTTTCCAAAGATTTCTTTTGGCTCAAAACAGATTTCAAAATTGCTGGTAAGAACGTCTTCTCAACAAATGGGAATTGGCCTGACCATGCGATCAGCTCTTGCCTCAGGCTTGCTTCACATTCTCCCATGATTTTTTGAGAGGCAGTCCAGTTATTCACTGAACCTGACTATAATACCATGCCGCTTAACTTTACATTTGTCTTAGTGTTTTGTTTAAAATTCATTGTCAATGGGTGTGAAAACTCTGTAATCATAACATGATGTTGCAAATCACTTTAATGACTCTTACTAATAAGTGGGTGTGCATCATCCCGACCCACAGGCTCTCCACTCCCAACACAATCTTTGGAGCAGAGTTTCTGCAGGTTGTTATGTTCCCTGTGGTTACGTCAGGAATCAGTACTTGTGACTTCATGCTACAAATATTAAGTTTTGTAGCCAATGTGTATCAATTTGGATAAATTAAATTGGTGCTTGAATGTTCCTTTCTGAACTTTAACATTCTCTAATGTTGGTGGATGTCTTGCAGCATTCAACACTTGGACCCTGAGGACATCAGAGTAAAACTCCATTTCAAACACAGTCTCTTTGGCATGGTTTGAAAAACTAGGATAACAAATGCTTTGCAGGATTTACTGCAAAGTGACTGTGCATTTTATAGGCAAATATGGCATATTGCCAGCACTGCACACAGCCAGGTAATGAGTGACCAATTTCATCTGGGGGATTGTTGGGCAGGACACTGGGAGAAACTACCTTCTTTTTTCGAATAGTGTCTTGCGATCTTCAACTTGCACCTGAACAGACAGGATCAATGTCTCAACCAAAGGACAATATGCACAACTTTGGACTTGGAGATTTTGAGCTCATTAGTAAAAAGGGACTTGTTCCAGGGATTTAAATTGCTTACACCTGGATACATCCATAGATGATGTTTTTCAATAAAACATAATAATAATCCTTACATTTGATACAACACCTTATCATGTCGTCAAAATGTCTCAAACACTTCACAGGATATATTGTAAAGTGTGATTATGTATTCTGTGGGTGAAATATGGCAGCCAATTGCACACAGTAATATCCCACAAACAGCCAAAGAGTCAATGACCATTTTTTATTTAGGCGATTTGTTGGCCAGGACACTGGGAGAAATTTCCCTCTCTTTTCGAATAGTGCCATGGGATCTTTGACATCCAACTAAATAGGCAGCCGGGACCTCAACTTAACATGTGATCCAAAGAACGCGTGAATTAATAATGTATTAAAGTTATCCCCAGATTAAAAGGTTCACTCAGTTTAGGTAAGCAGATTCGATTTGGATATGCTCCAATGAGACTGAGCAGAGGGATCCCCATAGAGTGCATCCACTAAGCAGCATTAAGTTTCATCTCATTCTTTTTATATATGCCGATCGGGAGCTGTTAGTTTAGTTCTGAACCTGGCATGCTGAGTTTTACTGCTGGACTTTGAATGACCCTTGGCAGATTTGTAATGTATCATGTACTCCTCTTTTATGTGTATACAATATGGAAACAATTTCTAATTGCATATTGATTTGCTTTATGTATGTTCTGAATGGAACTAGGTTGGGGCACTCCAAAGTAAGGACTCCCCCTCATAACCAGTGGGATTTCATAAGGAAGTGAGTCACTGCAACAATTCTGGCTGTAAAATTTGAAGCTACTGTATTTTGAAATTAAAGCAATAAATATTTCAATTTTTATGACACTCATATGTATTAATCTTAAGTAGACGGTGGTATTAAGAAATATGATGTCGCCATGCTATCCTCATGGAGGGTAGTTACAGATTCCTGAGTCAAACCATGTTGGGAGGGCAGGGACAACTGTAGGTAAACTACACTCAACAGGAAGGGAATAAACACTGGAACTGTAGAAAGCCATTCAGCCCACCATGCCAGTTTATCAGATCATAGTTAGATCATTTACTCCCATTTCTCTGAATTTTTTCCATACCTCTTAATATTCTAACAAATTGGCTCCCTGTTAAACATCCTGATTGATTATGCCTTATATGGTCTTCTGAAGCAGTGCATTCACCTCCCAAGAATCCAGGAACCACGAGCCTTTCAAGTATCCAATTCAGAGGCTTCAATCCTTCCAATGCAAGGACTATCAATCTTAATGGGTCATCATCGTATCATTAGACCAGCTAAATTGTTTGCGTACATTTGATCTTTAAGGACTACTGAAGTGTCAGAAACTTCATGAAAATTATTTGAAAAATGTTTTGTTTACATCCATGAAATGTAAATCATATCATAAAGCATCACTGTGGCATTTCTACAGCATGACAATCTTCTGCTCCTCAAACAATGTTTGATAACAGTATTTCACTGTGAAGACTTCTTTCAAAATGAATAGGGTAATTAACCGAAGCAGGGCTGTCAATGCTGAGGAGATAAGAGATATTTAAATTCATGTGTTTTCTGAGAGGCGGAATTCAAAATTTATTTACGTTTTAAACCACACTGAGTGAATGTCACTCCTAATGGATAAGATCTGAATAGGTTACATTTTACATAATCTGAAAAAAATAGTGTACATATATAGCACCTTTCAAATCGGGAGAATAAAACAAACCGCTTAAAAGGACATTGCACTATTCAGTCATTACACTATAAAGTGCTATAACTGCACATTTTGGAGGTCAAACCTGGCAGTTAAGTTGCACACAGCAATGCCCCACAAACGATCATGATTACTTACAAAACAGTTAGCATCCCATTACGTTGCAATACATGGAACTAACAGTATCTAGTTAAAAAAAATTCCTAACTTTCTTGAACAATTCCTTAAAAGAAAATATTATCAGCATCAGGGTATTGAAGGCAGCCATGTTTTAGATTTTGATTTTCTCCCAAACTCTAAAGAGCTCAAATACTCCCTCTACAGGTCATACAACTCAGTCCACAAACACCTCTTGAATATAAATTCTGGACAAATTGAGAGCTAGCCAGGCAGAATTTCACAGCAAGGAATATCTTGAATGATTCATTGGTGCAATCCTGGTTTCCACACGATGATAAAATGCAGCCTACATAAAGAATCTCATACTAATCCTCTGCAAATTCCACAAGACTTCACACACAAACACAAAAATACAGAAATATTACATTGAATTTCACTGGAGAAAATATATTTTTCTTAAAAATGGCACATGGCAATGCAAACGTCTACTCCACTGAATTTGAAGTAATAAAAATAGTTGCAATGTATAAGATACTACATTCTTCTGCATTTAACACTTGTGAAGCCTACAAGTACCACTTATGAAGATACAACATTTCAATAAGTTTACATCACAGGAGTTATAGTTTTCTTACTGTGATGGTGAGATCACAATAAAATACTGCAACATATTTTTACCTTGTGGGCATCTAAACAGTGGTGTACCAGAGAGAACCTTCCATTCATTACATATGGCTAACCAGTCGGACTTAAATGTATTCTTAGATGAAAGTTGGCTACTATGAATTGAAATCTCTACTTAGATTGAACCTGTACTGTGCTGCAACTCACAGAACCTCTCTTCCAAGTGTGCTTGCTAGCACCCAAAGAAGCCTTAAACTATACCATTCACAGATGGTCAAGTAAACAGTGAGACCTGAGTTGAATTTTGACCCAGATGTGAACTGAATTGGACAGGTTAATTTGCAATTATCCAAATCTTGTCCAGTTAAGGTCATGCAGAGTTCATGTTAGCCTAGCCCTTTAAAAAAAGATCTATTTGTGCATCTCAGAAAAAAGGCTGCTCCCCAGTTGATGGTTGAGCAGCTGCTGTTTGTCGATTGAGATACAGGGGGATATTCTCCACCTCATAGTAAATTTACCCGTCTTGGCAGTGAGCTTGTATTTTCTGCTTGGATGGTAGATTTACTGGCCTTGGCGATGTGAGTGCTTAGGATGGTAATAATAATAATCCTCGCATTTGATATAACACTTTATCATGTCTTCGAGACATCTCAAAGTGCTTCACAGAATATACTATAAAGTGAATTGACTGTTTATTTTGTGGGCGAAACATGGCAGCCAATTGCACACAGCAGTGTTGCACAAACAGTCGTGGATTGACGTTACCAATTTATTATTATTATTTTCAATAATAGGTGAATGGTGCTAAAGCAAATTTACCAACAAGTGGTCAAGAAACCCCAGAAGTGACAACCAGTTACTAGGAGAAATTCATTTTTGCTGATGTTCTAGTGGCACAAGAATGTCCTGTCCCTGTTAATGCAATGGATATGCCCAGTGGTCATGCCGATATTTACATGAAATCAAGAAGGTGTAGAGATGAATATACAGATATTTAGGTGTCAGAAGCCTCTGAGTCTGAGATTGTGCGTTCAAGCCTCATATCAGAACACTGGGCTCCTAGTCTGGGGATGTGAGAAGCATTGTCAGAGGTGCCATCTTTCATATGAAACATTAAACCAGGGTCCTGTCTGTCTGTTCATTTGGACATTAAAGATCCCATGGCTCTTTTCGAAAAGAGATGGGAGTTTCTCCTGGTGTCTTGGTCCACAATCCTCCAGAGGGTAAAAAATGTAATTCATCTCTTGTCTGTTTGTGGGACATTGCTATGTATAAATTGGCTGCTTTGTTTTCCTGCAAACAATAAAATACTTCTATAGTGCT